GGAGGAAGTGGGTTAATTGTGATCAATTTCATTTTATGCTCCTAAGAAATTCTCAAAATCAGAAAAAAATGTAAAGAAAATTTTATTCTTTTGTAAAAATGTATGCATGCTACATGTAACTTTGCAAACTCTAAGTGCTGAATCCATATATTTAAGAACAAATTTCAAAAACTGTTTTTACACAATAATTACAAGCCATCATAAAAATAAATGATTTTTCTTGAAAATAATTACTTAGAACTTGTCTTAATATTGAAGACTTGCAATAGTTACTAACTTTGTTATGCTCATATAAAACAGCCTGTGTACCACACATATAAATAATGACATATATGTAACCGCAGAGTTGTAACCAGAAATGTAGTTTAATGTGTCCACTCTTTGTATGAGACAGGGCCACAGCCTGGAACCCTGTATACCTTGAAGTCACTATGTAATCTTGGATCTCCTCATCTTCCAATCTGTTGCCAGAAGATGCATCTCTGATAATAATTGGATAAGCCCCTAATCTTTGAGTATAGCAGAATACTTTTTTTTATACCAGTTGTGTTTAGTTTTTTCCTAGATTAGTGGATTATGTTGTGTCAAGTTCTTGGTTATTCAACCAGTGTTGGGTGTGCAATTATCCTCATATAGTAGACCTTAAGTCAAATCAGATATTGGTTGACCACTCCCGTAGGGTTTGTGACACAATTGCCCTAGCATAGTTAGCAGACAGGACAATTTGTAAGTAAAGGTTTCATGACAGTTTGGGCATCCATATTTCAGTTTTGGTAACCTGTAGAGACTATTTTCCTGCATCAAAGAGACTACAACATATGGGTAAGGTCGCCATGTATGTGCCAGCTGAACATCTCGATATTCAACGAACGGTGAGAATGCTGTTCTTCACAATGCCCCTGACACCCTCATCCCACATTCAGTTACCTGAATGTAACCTTTTGTCTGAGCAACAACCTGAGTTGTTCCATATGAACACTTTGGTCAACAACTCAGATTAATGAACACTAGTCCCACCAATGGAAGATTCTCAATTGAGACTCCGTATGCCTCACTACTAAGAGCCCTCACTATTATTGCCTTCATAAATTCCTGGAAGTCATCTTTCTATTAAGGTTCATGAATCTTCTTCTTTATAAAACTCCAGGAGAGATTATTGACACAAGGGACATACCTAAACCTAACAGGGTGATTTAAAGCAAGCCTATAACCAACATCAAATTATATGGAGAGAAACACAGAACAATTTCACTAAAACCAGAAACAATAGATGGGTTGTCCACTCCCCTTATGTTTCCAACACAATCAGAAAACAGGTTAAAACCAGTTATATCTGTTAGCTCATTTAAATACTTATGTATACTTCCCTCTCTCTTTGTGTATGTAAGTATGTGTTTGAATGTGTGTGTATGTGTGTGTTCAGACTCAACACACTACTACAACCTTACCTACTGAAAGGTGCAATAGCTATATATTATAGAGCCAAAGTATAATATTGTGTGTTTTTTATGAATTCTTAGTCACTCTTTATAGTGTATGAAGAACTGATATGAGTAATGTTACTACAAGCATATTGCCCTGATCAGTATATGTTGCATTATATCTGTAATACCACAGGTTCTTATGACATTAATAATAGTTATAATGAAATACTGTGAAGAGAACGTTAAATTTTATGATGGCAAATGAAACCTCTATGGTTTTAAGTAAGAAAGTAATACTACATTTTATTTCTAAAGAGTTATAATTATTCCCAAACTTATTACCCAGATTTATGAAATACATTTTGTTTAAATGATACATTTCATTCTTGTAAACCCCTTTCAATACTTGGGCTTTTTATAAATGAGAAACCATGAGCTGTGTAGTCACATAGAACAGTATCTTCCATTTAGTTTCACAAGAGGTGGCTTAACATTTACTGCATCTAACCACATTTAAAATATTTCTTATTAAAACATTTTCTTTCAAAGGGGTAACCAAGCACTCACTGTGTTCACAAGTATAGTTAGATACTGTGTTTAATTTATAAAATAAAAACCAAAACTAAACATTATAACTAAATAGATATGAATGACTTTTTATATATCAGATAATTTCCAAATCATGTCATTCAAAATGTGTAAAATGTATTCTGGAAGAAAGCCCACTGTTTTGTTTTTATTTTATATTTTAAAATTAGTTCTTTGACAATGTATTTGGATCACATTAACCACTTCTCCCACAACCCTTTGAGCAGATAGTCTTTTTTCCCTAAACTTCCATCTTTGTTTAAAACACTACAATAACTAAATATATCAAGGTAATTTATGCTGAAAAAAGCTAAAGCTTGCTGAAACATGGGTGCATGCAATGTTACATAGAAAGTGATTGCTTGACTTTTAAGAGACTACAATCTTAAAAGAAAACACTATCGAGATACATTGTTTTAATAGTTGATGATAGCAACTTGAAATTTCATCTAACTTGCTCTTCTAATGTTTTAGAAGAGGAAGATTTAGGGATTCCTGGGGAGAAGGAGGGAAATTGTGAATTGGGGTTTTATGATAATGTTTTATTATACATACATGAAATGCTGTTAAATTGAAAGAACTTAAAGAAAACACAAAAACAAATAAATTTGTGTCTATCCAGACAAAAATATCAACCGGAAATTATTTCAAATATTTGGTTTATAAAGTTTCATAACAGAATAATGACTATTAAAGTTTTGGCTGAAAATTCACATACTCTAATACAATTAAATTTCAAGATACCAAATTAAAAATAACTATCATGTTGCATTTTTTATCTCTTATTTTGTGTATTTGTGACTTTCCAATTTGGAAACTCCATATGAGAGAGTTAAATTAAACCAAACATAGTCTTTGAGGCTTTTATACACTGCAGTTTGTAATAAAAAACTTCTCCTCTTCAGACCTTCCCAGTTCCTCTGTTTCAGTATTACTTCAGAGGTTGTTTGTTGTCACTGGAATTCATTACTGTAAAACAACAATAAAAATCTATACTAATATTTACAATGCATAAGTAACATATGCTGGGGAACAAGAGAAACGGTTTTCTCTGAGAGTATTAACCCTGATATGTCAACTACCCCTGTGCTCCCTGCAACAGCTCCCACCTCCCATTCCTCCACCCCTCACCCCCAGTGAAAGCCCACACATCCCAGATTATATGGAAAACACTAATTGAACTTGATAGGTTTAAAAATTTATAAGATTTAGAACTGGGAGGCATGAAGGTGATGAATCTCGGAGAAGTTGGCATGAGAGCGTCAAAGATGATTAAAGCACAGCGCATTAGTCTTGTTTAATATGCAAATGTCAGGGATAGGTCTTTATGTTTTGAGGTTTCCCACTCAGTGAAACAGGTTGTGAAGGATTGGGAAGTGTGGCTTAGCTGGAAGTAGTGTGTCACAGGAAGTGGGCTTTGAGGATTCAAAAAGCCAAGCCATTCCCACTTAGCCTCTCCCCTGCTCTCTTTTCTCTGTCTCTCCCTCTCTCTGCCTCTCCCTCTTATCAGTGTCTCCATTGTAACATGAGGGGGCCTGCTTGTTGGGGTATCTGTCCCACCTAGTACCCCACAGCCGGCATATCCCAAAGAAAATCAAACAGGACTCCATAAGATTATAAATTGATTGGCCCATTAGGTCAGGCTTCCTATTAGTCCTTGTAACTTATATTAATCCATTATCATTATCTATGTTAGCCACACGGCTCAGTACCTTTCTCAATGTGGCAGCTCACATGTTGCCTCTTCAGTGGCCTGGGCAGGAATGACAGAGGAAGCTTCCTGCTTCCCAGAATTCTCCTGTTCCCATTGCATCACCTCTACTTCCTGTCTGGTTTTCCCGCCTATACTTCCTGCCCGGCCAATCAGCATTTATTTAAAATATGATTGACAGAATACAGACAATTCTCCCGCACCACTCCATCTCTCTCCCTTTGCTTCTCAGCTGCCTCTTCCTTATGGATCAGATATAAACTCTCGGTTACTGCTCTATGACAAGCAAGCCTGTCTGTTACCATGCTCCCTGATATGTTGGTGATGGACTATACTGCTCTTTTGAAACTGTGAGCCCAAATTTAAATGTTGGCAGAAAGAACTAATAAAACTAAGAAACAGAAAGATGGCATAATAAAATGGAGCATGAGTGATGGAGCATGTGATGAAAATGGACACTCTGAACGTGGCTGGCAATGAAGGCTGACTGAGAAGCCAAGGACAATGGCACTGGGATTTTATTCTACTGCATGGACTGGCTTTGTGGGAGTCTGGTTTGTTTGGATGCTCACCTTTATAGACCTGTATGGAGGGGGGAGGACCTTGGACTTCCCATGGGTCAGGGAACCCTGACTGCTCTTAAGGCTAGAGAAGGAGGGCGAGGTAGGGAGGGGGAGGGAAAAGGGAGGAAGGGAGGAGGTGGAAATTTTTAATAAATAAAAAAAATTTAAAAATGAAGAAAAAAGAAAAAATAAATAAAATGTAGCATTTTAAAAGAAAATACATATATAAATTTAACATGTTGCTTAGAATATTTCACTATCACAATTCTAAATTTTATTTTATTTTTTTTCTCATTTAGCAAAGTATTTATTCAAAAGCTTCTCAGCACCATCAAATTATCAGAAGAAGGAGCATCACTTCCTCTCCCCACTCAACCCCCAAGGCAGAGACACAAGTTAAACCTGTCAATGGGGCACCCCAGTGACCACAACTGACCCTACAAGGTTTTCTCTAAACCTGTTTAACCTGACCAAAGCAAAGCTGTGTCCCACAGGATGGAATCATGTCAAACTGATCAACCTTCCCTTCTCGGGCTATCAGAATCACATGAAGCAACCCTGCAAAAGTTGAATTAGTGACCACCATGTTGGACGGACAGTGACCTGTGAGGCAGCATGTAGCACTGAGAGTTCAAATCCTAGATAACCCTCCCCCATCTACTCTAGAAACAAGGAGCACCAGTCTGTTTGTTCTCCGCACACCTCAGCGGCTCCTCTTATTCTCTTACTACAAACACAAAGACTATGACAGTTAGGACAATTACATCTGATTAAGATGCTAAGAGATCCTGAGCCATCAGAGATGAGGAGAGCAAACAGTGCTCTCCCTTTTTCTTTTTTTCCTTGTGAATATTTTGTTTCAGCATAAAGCATCTTTCCCAAAGAGATTCCTGGAGGAGATTGGGAACCCAAGTTTCTACCTGTGTCTTGTGGGAACAGCCCCCCATGTAACTTTGGTTTCAGTCCCTGAATCTGTCCTTGGCAGCTATATCCGATCCCATGGGAGGAGGAAAGAGCTGGAAGCAGTGCCACTCACTCAGCCAAAGCCCCCATGGGGCCCATGCCAGCAGGGCAATGGGCTCCTGCTCTAAGACAGCCAGCACCTCTTCTGGAACATGCTTCCTGTCCACCACCACCTCGTAGACGTACTCGGAGGACCACTCATGGGTCATGCACAGGTAACCTTTGTGGCCGTGGTCTCCACCCCATGAATTATCTACTCTCAATTTCACGAATACACCATGCTGATCATCCTTCTCTGAGACAGCAGTGAAGGTCATGGAGTGGGTCATGAGTGACTCACTGAAAGCCAACCTCTCGGCTTTATTCATGGTCTTCAAGGAGACACCAAACATTAACTCATGGTCGTAGACATTCTTGTCACTGTGGACCAGCTTGCCAATGAAGTGTTTTCCAACATCACAGCCAAACCACACAGCATCTCCATCTTTAATGGAGGCAGCAACCATCTTTTTCAAGAAGTAAGTGGACTGGTTGAAATACAGCATTTTTCTCCCTCCAACCATATTGCTCAAGTAGTCTACTGTGTACAATTTATTGTACTTGTGCTGGGGCCATGGGTCATTCACAAAACAAATCTTATCTGCTATATTGAAGAGTGGCTTCATGTGTTCACTTAATAAATACTCAAGCAGACCTTACTTGTGTCAAGACCAGCCACAGCACTGGTCCAGGACCCAGAAAGAAGGGAAAGTGTCTGTGAGAGGAGGACTGAACCAGGTTGTGGTGGACATGGGTATCACATAGGCTGACTGCTTAGCCAGAGTGCTTCTTTATTTACACATAATTCAGTGAACAGAGAGATTCATATTATTCCAAAACATAGATCATATAAGTTTTGTTCTTCACCACATGTTTACATTCCTCTTGTATATCCTTTTAGTTATCACTGGTAAACCTTGACAAACAGAGAAATCTTTTACAATCATTTTTACTCATCATCCCCATAATCCAACTTTTAAGAATCTAGAGGCATATGACAGCCCACCCTCAGTCTGCCAGCTACTATGATTTCAAAGATGTTATACAGAAAGGAAACATCTAAGCCATCTCAGGCACATAGCCATGTCTGGAGTGATATATTATTAATTCTTCATGGTCAGAGTGCCCAAGAAAAATTCTTAGGCCAAAGTAGCTACAGTCATTATTCAATTTCTGTCACAATACAATGTTTACTTTTTATATCTTTATAGAATTTATTTATATGTCTAATCTTGGCATTCTTCTTTCCTTGATCATATCTCATCACAGTGGCTCTGCAGGAGCCAGTTCTAAGAAAGGGAGGTGCTAACAATTTATCCTTTTAGAATTTTTCCAAGACACTCTTTTCCCATAATATAACTGTCTGTGTAACACCACCTACTCTAACTTAGTTGTTCTGTATGCCATGCAAACACCCAAGTCTATAGTGGGAATATACTCGCAATCTGATCTGTGGCCCAACAAATCTCATCTAACTTTTTTGTTTACTTTGTTTAGATTATCTTGCTTCTGAGTAATACATGGGTACATGTTTCAAGAATATTTCAGAGACTCATAAAGAGATCTCTGACTTCGTTATGTATATCAACCTCCAAGCCATATAGAAGATTTTAAGAAGGGACAGATAAGGACATTTTCCTAAAAGCCGGAATGGTTCACGACTCTCCTAGGGAAGCTTAAAAGCAGTACTCCTAGGAGAAGGCACTAATAATTCATAAGAAATTTTCTGTCAGTCCAAATCAATATTCCAAAATTGTACAAACATTAAAAGCCTCCCAAGTTTGCAACTTGCAGAGATAAAAGCTAAAATTGACACAACAGCCAACATGAGATTTGGCTTTTATGTGTCTTTGTCAAGCATTTGTGCTGGCTTTGTGACTTTGCCATTTCCATAAGATATGGCTGTGCCATGCCAGCCCTTTCTAAGGTTATAATAACTCATGCAAGCATGTGTCCTCCTAGCATATGTCTGTAATCTTATATATGATTCGTCTTTATCACGAGGCTGTCATTTGGCCTGGGTATCATACAGATACAAAGAATTTGTACAAATGAAGAGAAACAATGTGAATAAAATAAGGGCATACTGGTTTCATACAGCAGAGATGGATCAGTGCATAACAGCTCCTGCTCTTCTTACAGAGGACCCAAGCCAAAGCCCTGACACGAACTTTGGCTGCTCATAACCAACTTTCACTACAAGTCCAGGAGAAGTGATGTGCTCTTTTGACCTCCATTGGCAGTGAAGTCATATACAAAATCCTGCACTAACATACACACATAAACATAATATGCATGCAAATATTGATTTTTAAGACCTAAAGAACAAAGAACAGATACTAATATTGAACCATAAAAATATATATTTTATGATTAAATTGTAGGAAGATGGCTGCTTGTTTCTCCCTGGCAGAATAGCCCCAAAATAATAACAGAGAAATTATATTAATTAAATCACTGCTTGCCCCTTTAGCTCTAGGCTCTTATTGGCTAACTCTTACAAATTAATGTAACCCATTTCTATTAATCTGTGTATTGCCACGAGGCTGTAGCTTACTGGCTAAAGTTCCAGCGTCTGTCTCCAGTGGGGTTACATGGTTTCTGTCTGACTCTTTCTCCTCTCTCCCATCATTCTATTTAATTTGCCCCTCCCAGCTAAGATCTGCCCTGTTCAAGTCCAAAGCAATTTCTTTATTCATTAATGGAAATCACAACATACAAAGGGGGATTCCACATCATTAAATTATTCTGTATATCACTTTATGTTTAATTTATTTTGTTTTCCAACGTCTAATTGAAAGTCTCGTCTTGATATGCACATGTGTTTTGATGTTAGAGATGGTGCTTTTGTAACTACATTTAATGTAGGTTTCCGATGAAGGATCTCTCTCTCTCTCTCTCTCTCTCTCCCCCTTCTCTCTCATTGTCTCTCTCATTCTCTCTTTCTCCTTCTCTCTTACTCTTCTTTTCTCTCTCTCTCTGTCTCTCTCTGTCTCTGTCTCTCTCTCTCTGTCTCTGTCTCTCTCTCTCTGTCTCTCTCTCTGTCGCACACACACACACACACACACACACACACACACAGCAGAGATAAAATGCATTAGCTGGTGTATTTAGCCTTCACACATTTGCTATCACAGACACATTGATTCTTGTGTCATTTTTTTTTTCATAGTGTGAATTTGGCCAGAAACATACTGCATTTTTGGCTTACTGTTAATGACAAACGTGTTATTTAGGACAAAATTGCTTTGATTTTTTTTCCAGGAAAGTGAATAAAAGCTATATAAATGTTCAATACTAGTATGATTGGCTTTTACAGCTTCAAAAACATTCCATAGTGGGTGTTGTAATTATTTCCAGAAAAAAGTAAATGAGAATCAGCATTTTGTGGGCCAAGACAATTAAGATCTGTTCAATTTTGTCTCTATTTCAATATGTGATTAAAGCTAAAGTTACTTTCTTTCAGCTGGTCATATTTCTGAGTTAAATGCAGTCTTTCAAATGAATAATGCATCAACTTAAATTTGTTAAATTTAATGAAATCATTTTAGGAATGCAAACTAAACACCACCTTAAGCAAATTTTAAACGTTAGACTCTTTTTCTTTTTCTTTCCTAGTAACAAACATAGGAAAGAGAACTGATTTTAAAGAGAATAATTGAGTTTAAAATGGCCAAAAAGTATATCACGTTTACTTCATTTTTTTCTAAGTGTAGTACTTCAAAAATTTTCATTTTTCAGATTCAAAAATGCATCTAATTTGATACACGTTTCTTTTTCTAACTTTGATAATAATATGCCTCCAATTTTCATTTATTATTAATATGCAAACTTACACTAGGAAATTGTACCTTAAAATATAAGCTTCAGTTTTATTTATTTTTTTTTTAGTAATTTTATTAAATTATAAAAGTTTCCATTTCCGCCCCTCTTCCCAACACCCTCCCACTTCCCCCACTCCCTCTCCTCCTCCCTCTTCGTCCCTTAGGGCAGTCAGGGTTTCCTGCCCTGTGGGAAGTTCAAGTTCCTCCCCCCTCCCTCCAGGTCCTAAGCTTCAGTTTTAATATTGTACTCTGGGTAGAGACAGGACAATCAGGATGTTGATGCTTCAGTTATATTGTGAGCTGACACACATTGTCTTTGCCATTTTGATGTAGTCTATTTTCATCTGAGAAAGTGAATTAAATTTGCATATTATCAGATATATTAGAATATTTTAGTCATAGTATGAACATAGAAGATCATTCTATCTTACTTTTTTATGAGAATAAAATGTTGATATGAACAATCATAAGAATTATTAAAATCAAAAAGATATTGCAAGACAGTACAACAACATACATAGCTTAAAAGTGCCTTATGAATCACTATTTCAAATTTTGTAACATGATTTCTATACTCTAATACTTTAGGTCACATATATTTCTACCTCTAGTTTATGAAGAGTTATGACAGTTTATTGATATGAGAGAACAATAACAATTTTACTAGATATTTGTTAAGTTACAGAGAAAATAAACAAGCATGACTATAATATCAGGGAAAGTGATATAACAGAGAAAATCAACACTTTCAAAATCTTATGTGAAAAAAATATTGCAGAGTTTGCAAGTGGCATAGGAAGCTTAACATTTTCTTGTAGGAATTCTCCTCTGGATAAAATGCTGATTGTTCCTTACTCAAAGTAACATATATAAAGAAATTAATTAAGAATGCTACATTTCATTTTATGTCAGAGACCATAATTTTATTATCATGTTGGGGAATCTGCTAAAATAAGTATGGATTATTTGCATAATTATCTCTTCAATAATATTGAAAAGACTAAATTCTCTACAACTCTGGTGGACACTATTGTAAAAATGGCAATGTCCTGATTCAATTTGTGAAGACACAGTGGAATTAAGCTACTAGAGTCAGGGATATGATACCTGCAGGAACCATTTACAATTCAACATACATATGCACTGGGTTTTAATCAGAAACAGAACACAGGGCCTATTTGTCTTTGTTGAGTTATATATTAAGACTTATGGTGGAGATCTGAACTTCAGTACATGAGATAATAAAAATTAATGCCAGACAAGAGGATAGAAAATGAATAAGGTCAAAGTATATGCTTCTTTCCCCACTCTCAGTTTTGACAGCTACTTCTTTTGGAATTGCAAAGTAAATTATACAGTGCAAAAGACAAATAAAAAAACGACCCTTCCCTGAAGCATTATGGCAACACAAAAACAATTTTATGTCTGACATTTCTTGCAGTTGAATCTGATGAGAAACTTATCAAAGTCAAGGTGAATTCGTTCTTTCATTTCCCCTTGAGAAGAGAAGTCAGATTGCATAGCTGCTGAAGAAAAGCCTATCAGCAGCAATAGTACACAGAACATCCAAAAACACTAAGGTTTCACCCAGTTCTAACATTGCTGCATTTCATTTTCAATTTATCTATATTGATGATTAATGTTGAATGTCTATTTTACAGGATCTAGAACATCCTAGGAGAGACAAATTTCTAAAAATATATGTGAGGGAGTGTCTAGACAGAGTTAATTGAGAGGGGGCACATCTTTTTTTTTTCAAAGTTTATTAAATTATGAAAGTTTCCATTTCCGCCCCTCCTCCTA